CGATCCCCACGGTCGACCGCCGCAGTAGTTTTGGGTTGGTTATGTTTTTCAGACCCGTTTCGTTTGAGTTTCCTATAAATACCCAAACTCGTTTCTAGGGTTTGTAAGGCAAGAGGTTTTGAGCAGATTGAGAGGATTTTCTTTGGGCTTCTATTGTATGAGCAATTGGTGAGATCAAGAGTTGATTTGTAGAGGGTTTATGAGAGATTTGTAACCCTAGTTTGTTCCTCTTGATTTCTAATAGTGAAAACTCCCCCCTCCTTGCCCCGTGGACGTAGGCATCTCGCCGAACCACGTTAAAACTGGTGTTATTGTGTTTGTGCTATTGTTTTGTGTGTTTGTTTATCTTTTTCGGCTATTTGGTTGGATCTCAGCATATGGGTTTCTCCCCAACAAATGGTATCAGAGCTCCGGGCAACGCTTGGGCTTTTTGGAGGTGTAGATCAGTTGGGAAGTTCATCTAGAGCTTCGATTGGTGATAAAGGTGGAATCTTTGGTAAAAATTCTATCTTTGGTCAATTTTGGATCTATTCATTGTTTGTTCCGCAATTGTTATTGGGTGCTTTGAGATATATGGCCGGGAAAGATAAAAGTGGGGAGGGTTCTTCTAGTTTGAAGACCGTCCAAAGTTTGAATATCCATTCTATGAAGATAGATAAGGAGAAGTTCGATGGCACAAATAATTTTGGACTTTGGAGATGCGAAGTCTTGGATGCGCTAAATGCGCAAAATCTGAAAGATACGTTGGAGTTGGACGGGAAACCGGACAACATTGATGAGAAGGTTTGGAAGAAAATAAATAGAACGACGTGTGTTGTGATTAGGTCTTGTCTTACCCAAGATCTAAAATATGATGTGATGAATGAGACTTCGGCAAAGAAGATTTGGGAGGTCCAGCGTCGAAAATCGTTTGCATTTGAAGAGGAGGCTTTATCGCTTCCAATTAAAGAAGGGAACATCCATTAGTGATCACATGAACCACTACACGAAGCTACTTACAGATTTGGCAAATGTAGGTGTTATGGTTGAAGACGAGGACAATGCATTGTTGTTATTGAGTTCCTTGCCCGACGAGGAATATGAAACCTTCGTCCTCACTCTTATTAATGGGAATGCATCTCTTTCTTATAGTGAGGTCACCGCGGATTTTGTGAATTATCAACTTCGAAAGAAGGACAAAGGAGACTTCCATTAAGCCGGTTGCGGGGGCATTGGTTGCAAGAGCTAGAAGTCCAAACTGTGGTAGAAGGTCGCAGTCTAGATGAGGGCATCCTGCAGTTGGTAGGAATCATTGTGCCTTTTATAGAGAGGATGGACATTGGAAAGCCGAATGCCCAAAATTACAAGCCGGGAAGAATAAGGGGAAAGCTATTCAAGTTTCAGAGGTGAATGTTGCTAAGGCTAGTGGCGACGTTTCAGATTCATTTTCTTCGGGCTATTCATGCCCAGCTCTTCCGTCAGTTGGTGTGGCCAACTCCACCGAGTGGATGTTGGATTCATGTGCTACTTACCACATATGCCCTAGGAGGGATTGGTTCTTCAGCTTTCAGGAGTTGGAAAGAGGGGATGATGTACTTATGGGTAATGATCACAGATGCCCTATTGGTGGTATTGGTACCGTTCGTATTCGGACGAGTGACGGGATGATTCGGGAGTTGATTGATGTGAGATCCGTTCCTCAACTGAGGAAGAAAATCATTTCACTTGGGGTATTGGAGGCAGCAGGTTATAGGGTGACCTTGGCAAATTCTCGTTTGAAGGTCACATAGGGGTCCATGATTGTGATAAAGGGCGTCAGGAGGAGTAACTTATATTATCTGCTTGGGAGCACGGTGATTGATAGAGCGCTGACGACTTCTTTGGCTAGACTGTGGCATTGGTTGGTGCTGGAGTATATGATTGGTTATGTCGTGCATAGGTCGTTGAAGAGTGCTATGACCTACAGATTGAAGTCTTTGTGAGCACATTGGGATGAGCGAGGAGACCGAGGTGGAGTTCAACGCTTCTATCCATCGATCGAGTAGTCTTATTGGAGGTGTTCAGTCAGGCATTGGGGGGCCTTCCATGGAGGCATCATTGGGAGGTAATCGGTATTTTTGTTTCCTATGTTGGGGATTGTACTAGGCATATATGGGTTGCAACCTAGTTCCTTTGGTATGAAGCTAGTAGTCCGCAACAGTTGGAGGAGGTGTATGGGTAGAGAGGTTACCCGTCGTACTAGTTCTAGTAGGGGTTCTTTCTTGCATTGGTACCAAGCTTATGGCATTTGGAGACACTTCAGAGGAGAGGAGACAGTAGGGCGACGAGATGAGATGGCGGATTTAGTGGGTCGTTCTTTTCTGAAGGAGAATCAGCGTTGGTTGTCGAGTAGTAGATCTGGTATTCAGGCTCCGACAGGTTTGGGCCATTTTATGAGGTTACCGACTGCTGCGTTAGATATTATTGGATCTGATGGAGCTGCTTCAGATTTTGGTTGGCATCGGATATTGGGCTACCCAGCATTTGGTCACATCGTGGATGTGAGATTGGATCCGATTGCGCATTTGGGATTCAGATGCTCTTTTGGCTATCAGTTGAGGGCTTCTGAGTTTGGTCTGAGCAAGCATGGACTCTCGGCAGGTAGAGAGTATTGATCAGATCAGTGGGATATCGCAACGGATGGAGGTTGATGCTACTCCACATCGGGTGGAGCTTATTCCACATACTCCATGTCATTTTGCATTGGTTGGGATTCCGGCTGAGGTGACACAGTTTGGGGATCAGATTGTTCAGGATGCGGATGTAGGCTGTCTAAAAATCACAATGGATAGCTGATCCCTATCAAGCTCCGACAACGGAGGTCACAATCATACCAAGCAACCTATCTTCGACTATATCCTGTTTCCGAATCACTCCGACGCCGATATAGCTATTTGCATTGGTAGCTTTCGTCTGTAGGGCGAGCTAAGACGGGAATCATACACCTAGCTGTCTTTAAGATGAATATTCGCCACATAGCTCTCTACCAAGCTAACTCACCAACTGAGTTCCAACTTTTATTTTCTGCAAATTCGTTCCCACTGTCCTTCATCAGCATCTTCTAATAATTGCTACGATTTTAAGCCTGCCTGTTGTCACAGCCCGTCAAGTATCAATCATCTCAGGTGTGAGGATTCGCCTGTTTTGTGGCAATTGTCGGAAGTTCGGATACAGTTGATTGGGAAGTCGTCTGAC